TTCCTGCCTTAGATGGTCCCTGTTTACTCAGTGTTGTCCTAAGATAGTGATAGGGACAGTGTGGCTCACAGGTTGCATGTGGTACCTCAGTGCCCTCCAATATTTTTTGGGGGAAAATTAGCTCAAAGGCCAATTCTACTACTACTACTACTACTACCACTACAGTGGGCCTTGATATTTGCTGATGTTTGGTTCCAGAACCCACTGTGGATGCCAACATTGCTCATGTCCCATTAAATACAGTGGTGTAGTGAAATGGTGTCCCTTGTATAAAATAACAAAATCAAGATTTTTTTGGAATTTATATATATATATAAAGCGTTTTCAAGCTGTGCATGCTTGAATACACATAAACCATTTAAACACATAGGTTCAAACACATAGACATGGAATTAAGAAAACCATCACACAGTAAAATCATCGAGATATAAATTAAAAATATACAAATTTAAAAGTCTCTTAAGAATCTAGAGTGTTAGGGGCAATCTGCACATGTTTTTGGCTTGACCTGGGCTGTTTTGTGCCCAGGAGAGTCCTTTTACCCCCCCCCCCAACAGGCAATGATCCAGAAGTTGGTTTCTGGGTAACATCCTGTTGGGGAAAAACCTTGAGTCTTAAAACCAGAGCATGGTGAATTTCCCCCCAGGTTCCCTAGGAAAGTGCAACTGGAGGTACAGCCCTCCATGGTACTCTGAATGGTCAATGTGGCCCCCCGTCTCCATGTTTTTAGGCCACACTTTCTAGCCAGAAAAAATAACGTCATGAACACACTGAACACAGTGTTGCTTATCCTCCCTTTTAGGGCTTGTTTGATATTTGCAGACCAAGGTAAAGCCGTTCTCTCTCTTTATTAAATATACTTTTACTCAGGGAATAGGTGGGATGTCTACCTGAGAAGACTCCTGTTCAACAGCTGCTCTTTCTTCTCCAACTACAAGTGATGTATATTTCTAGAGGGAGAGTGGGCAAGTATTTCTCATGTTGGTTGAGGGATTCTGGGAGTTGCAATCCAAAAGAGTAACTTTCCCCAAGTTCCGTTGTCTTGGTTACTTGCTGTCAAGTTGACTTTGACTTGTGGAGACCCTCTGAATGAGAGATCTCTGTGAGTGCCATCAACGGCTCAGGTCTTGCAAATGAATTGCCATGGCCTCCTTGATGGAGTCAATCCACCTGGGCTGTGGTCTTCCTCTTCCTCTCATGATACGTCCAAAGTCCAACAGCCTCTCTTTAGCCATCTTGGCTTCCAGGGAAAGCTCAGGCCTGATTTGCTCTCGGACCCATTTGTTTGTGTTTTATATGCAGAACTCTCCTCCAGCACTACATTTCCAATGAATGCATTCTCTTCTTACCAGCTTTCTTCATTCTCCAGCTTTCACAATTCTCCAGGTTTCACAGTCGTACATCGAAATGTCTTGGTCCTTGTGGCCTCTTGGGGTGGCCCCTGAAACCCTCCAGAAGACCACCCCAATATATTAATTCAGACTGGTTTTCAGGGGTGTGTGTGTGTGTTTTTGCCTAAAACCCACCCCAAAGCTGCCAAAACCACCTGAAAGCATGTCAATTCGCCCCCAAATCTTCCCCAACAACAACAAAACATTGTCCAAAATGGCAGTCAGAAGGGATGTGGCATTATTTTGGGCACACCAAAAAGTACCATGAGGGCCAGGGGGCAGACGTGGGAGGGAATGGCCCCTTCCGCCCCTTGCGCAGTTGCCCACCTTGTGCGAGAAACTATAGCTTCTCTCTGGAAGGTGATCGCTTTTTTACTAGTCCCCAGGTTCAAGGAGTGCTAAGTAGAGCAGAGGTGGGCAAAGTACGACCCGTGGGCCGCCTGCAGCCCCTTGTGGCCCCATGGAAGGACCCCTGTCCCCTTCCCAATTGGGTGTGCAGGGGGGGTTCATTACTTTTTTTGCCCCCCAGTTGCCCATTATTGTGGTTGCGTGCCTCCAAGTTGTTTCTGACTCATGACTTCCCCCTCTATCATGGGGTTTTCTGGGCCAGATTTGTTGAGAGGAGGTTTGCCATTGCCCTGAGGCTGAGAGCGTGTCACCCAGTGGGTTTCATGGCTGTGCCGGGAATCGTTCCCTGGTCTCCAGAGTCGTAGTCCAACACTCAAACCACTACGCCATGCTGGCTCACATCTCTTGCAGCACCCCAAACCCTTTTAAGAATGCAGGAGGAGACACTATGTCATGGCCAGCCAGGCTGAGGACTCGGAGGACCAGTCGGCTGAGCCAGGCCCTAGCTTTGCTCTGCCAGCTCCAGCAGAGTCTGTGCCTCAGCATCCCAGCCTCCCTCCTTGTTGCCTGAAACCTTGCCTCCTAGACCTTGGATTGACCTGGAACCCTTGACCTTGGACTGGACTCGCTGACCTGCTCTCTGGACCCCTGGACCCTTGGTTTTGCTCTCTTGGACATTGGACTGGTACTGTGCTCTTAGAATTGCCTTGGTGCTGCCGCAAACTCTTGCATTTCTGTGCCTCATCCTTACCAATAGCTTCGCTGGCTGCTTTCCCAGACACACCATCATCTCAAAAATGGGCTTCTCAGTGGCATCATGGGTTGGCGTCCCCCGGTGTGGGGATGCGGTCAGCAGCAGGCGGCTGGACTGGCACTGGACACACCAGATGTCCAGCTCTCCCTCTGAGGGCCACACCAGATGTCCAGCTCTCCCTCTGAGGTTTAACCCGTGAAATTCGAACCCACTGCCCTCCCCTAATGATGCCCCTTGGGCTTGTGATCCCAAGGCAAACTGACCAGGCCTAAAAGAAGAAGAAGAAAGGGGCTCAAATACTAGCCATTGCCCCCAATTGGCCCAAGCTTGCCTCTTGGAGGGTTCAGTGGCTACTATGGACCATTTAGGGCCCATTTAAGCCCACCCACCCACCGCCATTTTGAGATGGCAGGGATGAAGATGGAGGTTTGGCCCCGTAGGGTCCCACAAGGATCTTGTGCCCTTTGCTGTTATTGGGCTGCATCCACACTAGAGAAATAACCCAGTTTGGTGCTACTTTACCTCTTTCTGGCTCAAGGCTATGGAATTCTGGGAATAGGAGTGGGTTGTGGGGACCAGAGCAGAAACCCTTATTGTCACTCACATTCTTCTGTTTCTATTGTGAAAAAATGAGAAACCTCCCTCAGGTTTTTTTTGGGGGGGGGTGTTGAGAGGCTACATTGCCAGCCCCCCAATTTTATTTTATTTTATCACATTAAAACATATAAAAACATAAGGACAAACAATCCACTCAAAATTACAGACATGCATATATCTACAAACATACATTAATTCCAACATATAAACTGACAATCATTCTAACTTCCTACATATCTCCTTCTTTTTTGAACTGTAAATCCCAAGAGCCCAAGGGCTTGGAATAAGGGCAGTTACAATGGGGAAATGCACATTTATGGTGCCATGAGCTCCTCCTGGAATGTGTAGTTTGGGGATGCAAGGAGAGCTCCCAAAATGTCTAAAAATCCCAAACTCCCCCCAAGTCCTAAACTTCAAATCCCAGGAGACCTAGGGATTGGCATAATGGCAACTATAATGGGGAAATGCACATTTATAGTACCATGGGCTCCTCCTGGGATGTGTAGTTTGGGGCTGCAATGTGACCTCTCTGCCTGGGAATCCCAAACTCCCCTCCCAGTCCTAAACTGCAAATCCCAGGAGCCCCAAGGGATTGGAATAAGGGCAGTTACAATGGGGAAATGCACATTTATAGTGCCATGGGCTCCTCCTGGGATGTGTAGTTTGGGGGTGCAAGAGCTCCCAAAATGTCTAAAAATCCCAAACTCCCTCCAATTCCTAAACTGCAAATCCCAGGAGCCCAAGGGATTGGAGTAAGGGCAATTACAGTGAGGAAATGCACATCTATAGTGCTAAGGACTCCTGGGATGTGTAGTTTGGGGGGATGCAAGGAGATGTCTAAAAGTCCCAGTCTCTCCCCCCCCCCCCCCAGTCCCCATTCCTAAACTGCACATCCCAGGAGGCCAAGGCAGCCTTGCAGCTGCGGAGCCTTGCCTTGCCTTGCCTTGCCTTCCTTGGGTGCAGCTGCAGCCCTTCTTCCTCCTCTTCCTTCCTTTTGCAAAGCCTTGCTGCGGGTGCGCAGCTCCTCCTTTCGCTCCTTCCCT